TTAATCCAGTTCCCATTTCCATCCATTTCTAATGCAGGAAGCACTTCCCATCTGGGATTCCTCCGCATGCTTCTGCACATCAGGAAATGTCATGTGAGGTGCAATGGTTATATGCATCAGTCTGATCACAGTTGCTTTGCAGCTGACTTTGCCTCCTCAGTCCCATTTTTCATCTGACATTAATAATGAATGCCAGTAATGATTAAAAACTGAGCTCAGCCCAAGCAGCCAACTGGAAGTTACCGGTGACATTTGTCCCTAAACTGGAATATTCCCACAGAAGGTACCTTTGATCCTGTGGGTTACCTTCCTGTTCTCTGCCAATTCCCCATCTGCTTGAGGTTTTTATTTTACCACTCTTTTCTAGTGTGGTATTTTTTCATATTTTTTCTTCTTGCTTTCTCTTCTGTGTCCTCTCCACTCTTGTAGCTTTTCAGACTTTCCTTTCTTAACCTCACTGTTCTCAGAAACTGCCGAGTTTCCTGTTCCTGCAACCCAAGTATGGTATTCACTGGCCACTTTGTCATCCCTACCTTACAGTATTTACAGGAGTGACATGAAGTTGCCCTTGGCATTGTAAACAACTTCTGGTGACTCAGCTTTCTCCAAATCCTTTTCGTTTCAAAGATGAAATTAAAAAATAACTTGGAAGCAGCATTTGGGAACACTGAACCAAGAAAAGTGAACAAATTCATTCACTTGGGTTAAATTTTCATGAAGATCATGAAAGCCTCTTGCACTCTGCTGCAAAGACATTATTCTCTGTTTAGTTACTTGTTTGTAGTGCTAAAATATAACAAAGAAAACACGTTCCTTGAAGTGTGGATGAGATGTGCTTTATAGAGGACTGTGCAGTAATGTATGTTTTTGAGTATAAGGATATATATTGTCTTAGTAGGTTACAGAGGTAAAAACTGTACCTTCTGGCTTCTCACGATTTGCTGAAATGCTGGTCCTAACAGGTCTTTTAATAACCCAGTTGTGTTCTTCGTAAGGATACAGCTTCTGTAAGAGATGCACAAGTGTGTGTGCGCACACTGGCTCAAGCAAAACTTGGCATAATAAAATACGGCTTATTTCCTTGATGAGGATGAGAACTAGTTTACTGTAACTTCCAACTTCACAGGACAAATGAAACGTGACCACTTTCTTTATAGAACTGAAAATCTGGTTCTAGGTGCTATGCTTGTAGATGAGCTGCTTGGGGTGAGGGGTTTGGAGAGAAGGGGAGATGTCCCATATTTTATTTGTTCTGTATGGACAGTTTTACAAAGTGTGTTTTTTCTTCTCCTCACCTGCTGCTTTTCTGCACACTTCACTCTGTTGAAAGGGGAAATGTTACTACAGTATAAGCCAGTTTTGAGGGGTTATCACAAGATGTTTCACTGCTGAGCATGTATCTCCTTGGTAAAGCAAGGGCTCTGAGGTTAGCATGATGGAAGATAACTTTCCCTGCTTTCCCTGACTACTTTGTCAGTACTCTGCCTGCTTCTCACGAATGCAGCTGGAGTTGCTCTGAGAGACCTAATGTCCTTGTTCGCACTGGGAAAAGGAGGCTGGCCAGTTGCAAGCTTCAGGTGATAGCTGGAGCTCTCTTTGAGGGCCTTCCCTCTTGTTCTGAGTGTACTGAGGTGAAAGTCTGAGGCCTCATGAAGGCTAGTTGTCTCGGCTGGTGAGCTGGTAGATGGACGGAGTGGGAAGTGTTCACAGATGCCAGCGAGGGGGTAGTCTGCACATGCAGAACCCATAGGGACAAGCTGTTGCCCAGTCGTGCCATTTGCATTAATATCTGGATGACAGAGTGGTCCGGACAGGCTGCTGACTCCTTCCGAGCATTCACGTGTCCTGTGGTCTAAGGGCTGACTTCTGAGAAACCACAGCTGTCGGCTCCATGCCGATAGCCCGCCAGCTTAGCCAGGAGGAAATGGATGACAGAGCGAGCTGTGTGTGCTGTACAGCAACAGGTCAAAATAACTGGCTGCTTCGTATTAGTTTCTAAAACTGCTAAATGGCTTGTGAAGTACGTGGCCATGCCTATGTTCTCCCTGGGTTTTTCCTGGGGGTGAGATTCTACAGGGCCCGTGTTGCAGGGAGCCTGGCAGGGCAAGCGAGAAGGGGCCGGTGTGGGGCTTGTTCTCTGTAGCTCAGCTACTGACGCTTCCTGGAGGGGGGCACATTCTTCAAGGGGAAATGTGGTTGGGTTTCTTGGACCGCATCTCCTCCCCTTGCTGCTATTCTCACAAGTATTTCACAGACTGTCAAGCGTGGCCTGAGGTAGCCTTCGTTTAAAGGGGAACAGAAAGGCCCTCCAGTCAAGGCAGAGCCGTTTATAACCACGAGCTGTTGACCTACAGCAGCTGCTCATGGAGAAGCTCAATTCAGGTATTCACTTCACTTTCTAATGAGTCTGTTGATCTCCTCAGTGAAGGCCTCTCTAGCCTGAGTATCATTACAGTGATATAATTGCTGAATCTGTATATGCAAATGGGTTGTCATTACTCAAGTATCGTAGTGAGTGGGAAGCCTGATCTAACAACATGTCCCTTTATAGCATGGATATTATCAAATGTAAATGGGATGGTTTCCTCTTCCAATGCTTGCATGTTCACAAGTCAGTAGCACATGACTGGAACTTGCAAGATGACCATATCATCACTCCATTGCTTATGTGGGAAGTTGGTAATTTGCAATTTCAGAATTTTCTGAGTGAAAAAACAAATGAATAATTCATACCTGAAACTCCAAGTGCCTGTTCCGTCAGCTGTTAATCCAATTACTGATTAACGTTGCTTGCTTCTTCCCGTATTACCTAACAGCTCTGTTCTTACATATGACCTCTGGGCAGTCAACTCTGTTACAAGAATGCAGAAGTGCAAGACAGGATCAGGCAATGCCAGAATGTCTTAAAAACTCAAGTTACTCTTTATCTGCTAATTTGTTTCTAGTATCAAATAACATCAGTAAAGCAGAGAGACTGGGGGGCTTGTTCTCTCTTTGCTCCCCTCTTACCTTTGCTTAGATGTTGTAGCTGAGATCCCACAGCTTTAGGTTTCATTTTCCTCCGAAATGGACCATAGGTTGGGCAAGTGAGGTACAAATTACCACACTAATGGTTCTGTATTGGGGTGGGGATGATGCCCTTAGTCTCAGAATGCTGGCAAGTGTCAGCTTGTGCATATGTTCCAAGAACAGTAATGCTTTGCTCTAATTTGGTCATAATTTTCCCTCTCTTATCTGCAGTAAGCTTAGTCTTTCTGATTTAGTCATATTGGAAATAACCAACAGAGATTAGAGACACTATTCTAGTAACAGTTGCCTCTTCTCCTCCTCCCCAAAAGACACGGTGTCTTGCTCTGCATGTGCCAAATGCCTGATGTGATAGCTATCATGTAAGGGAACGATGTGGGACCAATGCTTTATTTTCTCCTCTGCAGCTGGGCAGCCTGGCACTCCCAGGTAGGAGTAGTCCACCTTTCCCTAAGAGAAGGGTTCCCAAAACTGGGGTCTGGCTCTTGCAGCTGATGACTTTGGACAGTATCAATCAAAATATTAAGTTAAGGAATTTAAAAAGTCTGTTTTCTGTAATGCTTAGTTACCACTGTCTGAAAATCCAAAAGACCACCTTCAGTACATAGCCTTGTGTCAAAGTAGTTTCTTAGTCAAATCTGCAGATTTGTGTTGGTGCAGTATTAAAATCTATTTGCTAAATTACATGTGCTGTTCTAGGTTTGTTTAAGAAATGTTGGTGTTGGTGGTGATGCCTTACTTGAACTTTACAGAGCTGCAGATTTTTGGCTCTCCTCTCTCTAGAGCAAACATTAAAGCAGCAATCTACTTGTACTCATGTGAGTAGGCTTACTTGCCATGTGGAGTGATTCACATACTTGAAGTTAAGTGTATGTGCACCACTATTTGTGACAAAAATTTCAGCTGAATGATTCACTAAGATTTTGTGGCTTAAAATCTGTCTTCTCAAAGCAAAGTTGCATTTGTATAATTCATAAAATCCCATTTAAATGTATAGAAAATATGTAAAAAAATGTGCATGACAAAGAATTTCAACTATCCTAAGTTTAAGTCTTTTGTTAATAATAGTAATAATGAAGAAGTCTACCTTTAAATTCCTGACTGACTGCTAGCTTCACTGTTTGAAACTAGCAGGACATGAACTCCTAATAGAAGCCTGCTTTAATAACTTTGGCTGTCTTGGTTTGTGGAAAACTTGATGTACCCAGAGGTTGGGGGATTCTGAGTAACACCTGGACTGTTGGCAGATTCACTGTGTGGATCCCGCAGGTTAGACAGTGCAGTTGGCCACTTAGGTCTTTCTCATCAGGACCGAGCATTTTAAATAGAACCTTTCTTACTAACGTAAAAACTCTGCCAGTCCAAATCTGAGATTTTATCTAGTAAATAATTTGTACTATTCTTTACAGGTGTGTTTTACAGTATATAGTAAATAACAAATAACTTCCAAAATGTAGTCTTAAATCCTTGACTGCTCCACATTTTTCAAAGGTTTGGAAAATTTTGGCCATGGGAGATAGAGTTTTAAGAATTCATGCTAGCCTTCTGACAAGGGGAAGTCAGTGACTTTCACCCCATGTTTTGGGAGATGGGGAAAAAAGGTGTGAATTATGTGAAACAAGAGGTAGAAACTAGATAAGAAAGTGCTCTCTACTAAGCAGATACAAAATCGTCTGTTGTTTCCTTTCTCTAGTTGGGAAAAGTATTTCCTGGCAGGGGTGGACCACCTGTAATCTACTTTAATTCTTGCTAGGTTTTTTGGCAGCCAGTGATATCAATTCGGTTTGTTTGCTCTTCCATCAATATCCATGCTCTTACTGGGAAACTGAAAAGAGAACATTGTTGTGTACACACAGATTGTAGGGTTACATGTGTTTACTTCTACTCTTGGATCTGTTTGGGTAGAGTACTGTTATTCTTCAACGCAAAGGCTCTGGTACGTTTCAATTTCACTCTTGTATAGATACAGGAGCTTACAGTTCTTGCTCGAGGAACACAATCCCTTCAGACTACTGCCTCATTTTGTGTTTTGTTGACAGAATAATAAACTTGGGAGTTGGGGTGAGCAACATAACCAGGGTCCAGAAAACTAAAGATACTACTGAAATGAAAGAAAAGTTGGTTTTCTTCATTTACTTTAGGAGAGGAAGACTAAAGGCTGCTGCCCATCCTACAGTGTACTCAGAGTGCAGCTGAGTAAGATGAGTCCAGTTACTGATCATTCTTATATTAGACATTGACATGTTAATTTTCCTATCTAACATGAGAAGGAACTAGCCATCTCAGCAAAGAGTGGCATTGTTGTTTCATAAGCATGTTCAGTGCTACTCCAGCACTTTTGTGTCTTTGTGAATGTTCCCCAGCAATCCTCTTAAGGGAAAAAAAAGAGGAAGCTCTGTGGTTTCCCTTTCTTCAACTAGATCCCCTTTTCTGAGCATTATATTGAGAAGAATAGCAAGTTCTACCCCACTGCCTCCGTAGCTATTTCTTGGGATGGATGTGTATGATGTGTGTTTTCAGCAAAGGGGAGTGATGTAACAGGACTCTGTATGCTTTTTTTTCAGACTCAGGCTGTGACTCTGTGACTGATACAGAAACGGAAGACGAGAAGAACCCAGTTTACTCCCCTAGACTTGCCATGAGTGAAGAACATGGATCATCCAAGAGCACTGGGGAACATCCGGTGGTGCAGCCTGACCGCATACAGTGTGGGGTACTGTATGTCCACTCCTTGGGCTACGGTTTTACTGTGGGCTGGCACAACACAGTATGCTGCTCTGGGATGGACAGCTTTAGAGACCTGGGAACTGGTCCCTAATTCCTTTTCTGTCACCTTCCCTATCAGCCCCCTGTCCTCAGTGTCTCTGTTTCATGAACTCGGTTCCCTAGGCCCAGAAATAGCTTGGTAACATACAGTGCCCAGTGTTGTCTAGGCTGCAATGTCTCTTACTGACAGACAGTCTCATTAATATAGCTGCTTGTCTTGTGTGCTATGAGGCAGGTTCACACTCTTGACTTCCCATCTTCTGTTCTGGTGAGATTTAGGGGTGGCAAGTAGAGTGAGGTGATTGTAATGAACCAATTAACTCCACAGTCTGGATGCAGTCTAATATGACCATTCTGGTGCATATCCTGCAAGTGACTCCAAAGAACTTGGGTCACAGCTTCCTGTCTGAAAAACAGCATTTTGTAGTATAGCATCCCCTCAGATGGAAAAAGTCTAAGTTTCTTCCTTTGTTTCTGTTTAGAACAGGGCTGTGCTGCTTGAGGGAGGAGACTGACAGAGTTGAAACGAAATAATTTTATAAATCTAGCTTTAATCAGTTTATAAATCTAGGTGATAAATCTGCTTAATGCATGTATCTGTGGTGGTGCAAGCTATAACAGAAGCCACCTGCCCAGTTACTCCATGACTGGAGGATCCTCCTGAAAATGATTCAGGACTGTGAAAATGACAGATGATAATTTATGTGCTAGTTGCAATGACAACAAAATTCCTAGTAAGTGTTCTTATGTTGTGAACCTGCATGTTGTAATGCCTTTTCTCTTAGGTGCAGACAACAGTTTATATTATCATGAAATGTAAACTAGATGGCGAAGTGAAAACTGAAGTTCAGTTCTCTCCAGAGAATGCATCATCTGTGCGTGTGCTGGCTGAGATGGAGAATGAGTACACAATCTCTGTGGAGGCTCCAAGTAAGCTGGGCTGAGATTTTCCCCCCCTCCTCTCCGCTTTGCCTCCTTTCTATCTCAACTTGCCTGTCCTGAAGAGTGTCAGAGGTGTAAGGGTAAAGGTTGCAATGCAGGAAAACTTGAGGCTAGGAAATCTTGAACTTGCATTCTCATCTGTGATACTGTTGTGATGAGGAACTGAGATAGATTGCTGCCTGGGGGCTCTGTTTTCCCCTCAGCAGCAACAGGGTTGCTGTGTGGAAACACCTTACTGGGAGTTCTGAGAGCAGATTGCAGCTTGTAAAGCACTTTGAATTTAACTGTGTGTTATAACTACCACCACATTAGCATTGGTGGGGCACCAAGAGAATATAAGTGCCAGTAAATAATTACGTGACTCTAACAGTGTGTGCTTAATGTGTGATGATCTCTCTGTGATCAAAGCTGAAACTATTTATCCTGGCTTGCCTTTTAATTTAGATATGTTCTGTCACTCTAGATATTTACAATGACAAAACTGTAAGTTGTCTAAACTTTAGGTTCGCTGAACTGGAGGGGCAAGATTTCGGAGCCTTTCAGATGGATAGTAGTTTCCCAGCATGATTTTATTTAATCTACTTTGGTCTGTCCTCTTGAAGAGTCATTGTGCAAGCTCTGAGAATAGATACTAATAGTCATTATAGCATCTCCCGTAAAGTCAGTGAGGTGGATTGATTTAAAGAAGGTGACCTCACCCATATAAAAATGTTCAATTTAATCTGTCTGAAATCAAGACTTATAATTTAAACATGGACCTGGAAACTAACTTGCACTTTGAATTATAAACGTGACCTTCACATTGGTGGAGAGTACAGCTATGTAAGCCCTGCAGTTTTTAGCAGTAAGATCAATATATTTTTAATTCCTTTCGCACATGTCTAACTATTTCATCATTTCCTGAGTTGTTAACAGCTAAGCATATATACAGGGAAAGATTAATTTCAGTGGGTTTCAAAATACTTGTGTTTCAAAGAGCAAGTTCAGACCTGTGAATGCACACTGGACAAAACATCAAGAAGCTCCCAAGGTGCAGGTAGGAGATAAATCCTATGCATAAGTAAAGTTGCAAAGCTGGAATTCTTTTAAGTTGATTTTGTTCAGAGACTAGTGAGGCTGACAGGGGTTCTGAAATCCCTAGTGACTTCTCTGGTTTCTCTCCCTTTCTTCCCCAGCTCTCATGTTTCATGGCATGGTTTAGAGACTGCTACAGAGAAAGCCAGGGGTGGAGAGATGTGAGGCTTTCTAGTTTGAGGTGGTGTGCTTGTTAACATTAGTGGTCCAGACTACTGTTAGCAGAGGACCTGGCAGGTCACAAGTGATGTGCATTGACATAGCTACGAAGAAGGTAGTTCCAAAGTACTTTTCCTACTGCATGATCAGACTGACATCATCTCCCTTTTTTCATGACTCTTCATGATTCAATACAACAGGAACTGTTTTGGTATCCAGCTGGCAGTATCTCCAAACTCCTCCTATCCTCAGCGTTTTCGATGCAGACTCATTCCCATCATTTGTTCTTAATGGTGATTTCTTCTCTTTCTTTTCAAAGATTTATCCTCTGGGACAGTGCCTCTGCAGATATATTCAGGGGACTTGATGGTGGGAGAAACAAGCGTCACCTATCACACCGACATGGAGGAAATCAGCAGTCTGTTGGCTAATGCAGCCAACCCGGTACAGTTCATGTGCCAGGTAATGACTCTAGAAAACAGCTGCTTTGGAAATCAGAGGCTAGACAAGTGGACATAAGCAAAGGTGCTTGCCATGAAGTAGCTCTTCTGAAATGAAGAAATGCAAGGTTATTTAGGGATTTTCACATAACCTTAACATCCCCTTTTAGCGAAAGCATGGGTGCTTTTTCTGTCTCTGGAGCAAATAGCTGGCTAAGGTGACTCAGGCTATCCAACTAACAAAAAAAAAAAAAATGCAGTCGATCAACACTCACGTTTAGACCTTGATGACTGGAAAAGATTGGGATGGAAGAACTTGATATAACATGAAGTACCATAAAGAAATAAATTGTTTGGAAATTTGTACCTAAGGGTTCTTGGAAAATATGTGAAAAGGTAGCAAAGGTTCATACTAGCTGAGTGAAGTAGAGTAACATAAAATGATTTGTTTATTCTTAGCACTTATTTATTTAAAGCCACTCCTTAGTTCTCATATTTTGCACAGTTGGGGTACATGAACCCTATTAGAGGAGTAAAGCTTGCACAAGCAAGTTCTCCAGATGTGTTGTCTTCGCTGCTGGCCTGCATGTCCCTGATCAGCTGTGTAGTGGAAGCCTACAGAGTAGTGTTGTTAGTCACCAGCATATCTGGGGCAGGGGAGACTGTCTTTCCCTTCCTTTTTAGTTCAAGTTGTGGAGCAGTTGGTACTGGACTGTGCCTCTACTTGGGGAATAGGCATGCTTCCCAGTCTTTGGCTAAGAACCAGTCCAAAAGCAAAACCCAGAGTGTACACAGAACAATTCAAAATGGACTAGTTCATACTTAGAGCAGGAGTGACACCTCGTTGGAACAGTTTCAGAAGCAAGACTATACCTGTCAAGGAAGTAGGAAGTAACAGTTTTCTGTGCTTCCAGTTGCACGAGTGACTTTCTCATTGTACGCTCTGTTGTTGTGGAGTGTACAGTTCTTATCTGCTCAGATTTATGATACTCTCTTTCTGGACCAGGAAGCTATTCATGTTCTTTGCTTGACCTGAACATTGCTACCTTCAGTATTTATGCCTACTGTTTTCTGATACGTGCTAAATAAAGAAACACCTTATAAATCTTACCTTAACTGAATCTCCAGACTCCCCCAAACAAAATCGCTTGCCATTTATCTCTAGGCCTTTAAAATCGTGCCATACAGCATAGAAGCACTGGACAAACTGTTGACTGAGTCACTCAAGAAGAACATTCCTGCCAGTGGCTTACACCTGTTTGGAATCAACCAGCTGGAAGAAGAAGATATGACAACAAGTAAGTTGAAAGATTTTTGTTTTCTTTTTAAACTTCATTTGTATCAGTTGTTTTACCTTGGAGTGCCTTAACACTGTGGTGTGTGGAACCTGCACAGGCTGTCTCAAAAATCTTGGATCTCAGCCAGGAAGTCGAATTTCTGATGATGCCAATAGAAGGGGGATTGCCATTTGGGTTAGGTGACCCTTTTCTTATTACATGCATCAGTCTCACTTCTTTGCACTGTGACAGATGCAGCTACGTAGACAGCTTCAAACACAACCAAAGTGAAAAGGTGATGCTCCCCAAAATGTCTCCCATATTTTCTCCCTTGTTCTTCTCCCAGTCCCATGTGGCATTTTTCCTCAGCCCAGTCCTTTCCCCCCAACCCCATGATTCTGCTCTAAGGTGCACAGTGAGCACTCAGCAGTTGGATTGGTGTGGCACTGTGACATGGTTGCCTTACAGCAGCTGGATCCTACTGGAATGATGATCTAAGAAGTCCTTGCAAACCTGTGATCCTTCATACATTAAGCTATTACAGTCCTAGGTTCCCCACTAAAGGTCATAGGACTTAAGCCTGGAGATGCACTAGATACCTTGGTTAATTTGTGCAGTTAGCTCCTTTTTGAAACTGTATATATACTTTTCAGGGCTTTCACACCTGCTTTGGTCTGTGTGTTTGCTAGGAGTTTTTCCTCACCTGCTGGCTCTGTTGCTGCTACAGAGAAACTTAGATTCTAACAGCCTTCTGTTCTCACAGATCAGAGGGATGAGGAGTTGCCAACACTGCTTCACTTTTCTGCAAGATACGGGCTGAAGAACCTCACTGCCTTGTTGCTTACATGCCCTGGAGCACTGCAGGCCTACAGTGTAGCCAACAAATATGGCCACTATCCAAACACCATAGCAGAAAAGCATGGCTTTAAGGACCTACGCCAATTCATTGATGAATATGTGGTAAGAGGAAGCAGCAGTCCTTCTGCGTAGTCCCACAGCAGGTGTGGGCAGTGGCACCAAGCTTGGCACTTAGTGTTGTGGGAGCAGGAGTGATGGGGTAATAAACAGTGCAGTGTGTGGTACGGTGTAGAAGACAGACATCCAGCCATACTGAAAGCTTCCAGGCTGGATGGTTGGGTGCACCTCTGGAGCTGGGGAAGTTCTTGGGGCTTTTGCACAGAGCAAATAAGATGGAAGCAGAGACTGCCATGCTGGGTTTCCTTATCATCCATCTATCTAATGAAGTTTCTGCAGGGGTGTGGTTGGTGCCTGGTGTACTCTTCTAACCTCTGATCTTGGGAATACTACAGCCCCTTCATCCCACTTACTTTAGGGAGTAAAACGGAAACAATATGTTTGGGAAGGTACAATCTGAGGTGCTCTCTGATTAGTCATAGTACAGTCTGTATTGTTTATTAGCTCATTCACAGCTGATCTGTGTAGTCTGCATGCTCCACTTGAAATCCATTTCTTCCTGCGTTAGGATAGCTGTCTGTTCCCTGCTTGTTCTCTCTGGGAGCCCAGCTCACAATTCAGTTCTCTTTGAGCTAACCCCATCCCCAGAAAACAGCACTCTGACTTTTCCAGATTCTGACATGGACCTGACTCCAGGTGCACCAGCCAGTTGTTTCTGTGGAGTCCTTCAGTGTGCACAGGGTTTATCCTTTCTTTGCCATTTCAATTGTTTCCAGCCTGTATGCTTCAAAATAACAAGCAGCTCCTTGACTCAGATCATGTGAATTCTTGAGCAGACTTTATTTGCCTTTGCTTTCAGTGGAAGAGTTGCACATAATTGTCCCTAACAGTTGTCTGAATGGTGGGTGATAGATCTGCCAGCCCTAGCGTGGTTTTGCCAGCCAATTACAGTAGTGTTTAAGCCCTATTTAGGAGGCATGGGTGGTTCTTAGACTTGGGGCTTGCTTCTTGATATAGGCATGAATTTAGGGTTGTACATTAGAGCTAAATAAAGGTCATTCCCTGGTCTGAGATCAGGAGGGCTGCAGAAACTCTAAATTGTGTGATTAAAATCTTTGTATTGGGGTAAGTGAGAGATGCTTAGGCAGTCCTTTCAACCTCTTACTGCAGTACTGTGCTCCTCCCATGTCCTCCTCTCCACCAGCACAGTGACAGAGCTCTGTTAAGAGTAGGTCCTGCTTGCTGATCATCAAGCTATCTGTGCAGCTTAGTACCAGAGCACACAAATGATCTGTACCAGTGTGTCCACTGCAGGGTCATGACTAGAAACACTACTAGTCAGGATATCTGAAAATCCCAGTAAACCCCTTTACTCACCTAATTTTCTCTCTGGCAAAAGTTCCTCTGTACCTCCCTAAAGCATTGCATGAGCTACCTGCCTGACCATCTTTGACTGTGGAGGGGAAGCATGTGTAGACAGTTTTGACACACATGCCCTGTGGATTGAAGGCCTGTGAGGTGGCGGTTGTGGGTGGAAGAATATCTTGTAGTACTGCAACTGGTTAAGATGGCTGTGCTTGTGACGTAGTGGGAACTTGGAGAGGCTGGGATGAAGCTTTACATTTTGCTCCCTTGCATGGTTTGGTGAAGATCTGCACTGCCCCCCGCCCTCCTCCCATGTTGCAAATATGTGAGAAAGGGTTCTGCTGTCCTGTGAATCGAAAGTTGCCTGTATTACTTGAACAGTTGCCTGCTGTGAGGTTTCCTGTTAATCTCACAGAAAAGGGTCTGTGTACTCCCACTCTGGGTGTTATGTGCTGCTGATAGTACCAAGAAACTGAAACTGAATCTCACCAAAGCTAAAAATTTGCTTTCTTCTAAGTTCTCTGTGTGTGGCAAGCTTTCCTCCTTATGGTCAGCTATGCTTACCCCAAAATAGCCTTTGACACAAGGATTTGTATTTTTAGAATGAGCTTTGCTTATGTTCTAGGAGTTTGCAGACATTGGGTAGGACATGAAAGTGAGGGGGTGAGAGGCTGTAATGGCTATTCAGAACGTGTCAGCACCAACCTGTTTCACCTTCATTACCTATTATTACAACGTAGATCTTGAAAGCTGGGCGCAGACAGCTGTAGTGGGGATTTAATTCCTTTAAGAAGCCTTAGTCTTTGGGAATGGGCTGCTTTTAGAAGTTTTTTTCCATCAGTGATGGGTGAGTGAGATATCTTTTGCTTGCTTTGATTCTCCAGATTCTTTATTTAAATGAGACTTGAACATTTTTTTTCTTGCCCTCCTTCCTCTCCAGGAAACTGCAGATATGCTGAAGAGTCACATTAAGGAAGAGCTGATGCAAGGCGAGGAGGATGAGTCTGTTTATGAGTCCATGGCTCATCTGTCCACTGATCTGTTAATGAAATGTTCCTTGAATCCTGGCTCCGATGAAGAGCTTTATGAATCCATGGCTGGATTTGTCCCTGGTGCCCCAGAAGATCTCTGTATGTATATTCATAGAATCACAGAATCTTAGGATAGTTTGGGTTGGAAGGGACCTCTAAAGGTCATCTAGTCCAACCCCCCTGCAATGAGCAGAGACATCTTTAACTAGATCAGGTTGCTGAGTCCCGTTGGAGAGGCCTAAGCCGATTTGTCTCGCTTATACATAGTAGTGCCTCAGTTGAGTTTCAGAGTAAGGGCTGGTTATTCTGCTCTCACCACAAGGAAACCATACTCCAGTTCTGATGTTGGCTGGCTGATAAAATCACTCTAAACCTTTCTTTGATTGCCAGTGTACAAGATCAAGAGCTGTTTCCTCAGTGCTTTGAGGACTCTCTGAACCCTGAGCAAGTGAATTAGCATTTGGAAGAGACCAGATTTTCTACCATGTCCTGCTTCTCCCTCCTGAGATCCAGGGACGTAGGGGAAACTGACTTAACAGATGCTGGTGGAAAAGAACACTATGTAAGATGTGATTTAACTGACAACTGGGAAACTGAAAAACAAGAGCTCAGTTTCTACCTCAACAGCTTGAGAACAAAAGAAAGCGAACATCTAGAAATACGTGTACTGAAAAGATTATAATTGAAAAATAATTATTCTAATCCACTTGGTTTATTGCTAAAAATATAGAGCTAATTCTGATAAATATGCAAATGTTTAACTTTTTCACCATGCCATTAATATTCAGTGAGGCCGATTGCAAAAATCAAGTTAAGTACTTAAGGTTAAGCAGTTGTAAATTTGCTGTTCTTACTTATCTGCCTATTTGGTCTGGCTTCATCCCACTGATCTATTTTGATTCCCATGATGAGCAGAGAATCTAGCTTATTATAGTTTAAGTACCTGCATAAGGACTTCTAGTGTTTCTGCAGTTTTAAGTCTGATGCCTCAGGGGAAGAGCTTTCTTACTGAAACACTTTTGCTTATAGACTATATCTGTCCTGGGCTGGTTTTCTCCTCTTTTAGAATAAATTATGTTATAAAACACATTTTCATTGATACAGAGTCTGGAAGACTTTGTCAGTTCTCTGCCTGAAATCATAAACTCTCTGCGAAGTTTTGTTTGGCCACTGCAGGGATAGTTTTGCTCCCAAACCCAGGATTATTCTGCCTTCAGGTGGAGATAAGCAGTAAGGCCGGTTGGACTCCTAAGACACAAAGCTGCTGTTGTTTGCAGTAATGCGGGTGAGAGTTTCTAGATGTTTGGAAGCTCTGTCTGCAATCAGTGCACCTCTGAATGGGGTTGATTGACTAAGTCTGTGGATGGGGAAAAAAGATGCTTAAAACCACTAAGCCCAACTTGTCTTCTTCAACCCCTGAAATGTCCAGATCTCCCAGAAACTACGCAGGGTATATTCCTTTCTTTTGTGGATGCAAATCAAGCTCCCTGTAATTTACCACTTTTGAACAGGATTCTGAAAAGCCTCTCTGAAAATATTCTCATATTGGTTCAGATTTAGATCAGAATTGCTTCCTGTCAAGAAAACCATTTGCAGCCCTGCAGACTGTTGGTGGAAGAACTAATTGTTTTAAGGCCCTTGTTTCTTCTTCCTTGCTGAAGATCATAACCTCCCTCAGTCTGCTCAGTTGCTTGTGTAGTGTCCCCTTGCCTGTTTCTGTCAAACAAGCCACGTTAGGTTAAACAGTTCAAGTACACAGGTTTTTCTGCCCTCACTTACTCTGACAGATCTCAGGAGGGAGTTTGGCTGGTGTTTTGGATGAATACACGAAACAGAGCCTGCTTGGCTGACAGGCATGGAGATGGAGAGCTAGGAAAGGTTGCCATGGGATGGAAAAAGTGGTGCATTTGAAGCCTAAGTCAGGCTGCTTTCCTTAAGCCTCCTCAGTAGCAAAGGCCCAGCAGGCATATGTCCTTCAGGGGAAGCTTCTGCAAGCACAGTCAGATCAGCAGGGTGGCAGAGGTCTCTGGGATCAGCACCAGAAAGTTCTCCTGGTGTGCAAATGTACTGCAGGCTCTGCAGGGCTAGTAGGACTAGAAAGGTAAAAACCCAAACTGTCCCTAAAGTAGGTACTTATGATTCCCTTACTGAAAAGCAGAGCTGAATGAGTCTGCATTTTAAAATGTTTTCCTCATTGGTGAGATGCTGTATGTGGCTTATTTGTAATACTTCATCAAAGCATGTGAGTGTGGTTCCTGCTTCTTCTGGAGTTCTCCTAGTGTATTGCTCCTGCGCACAAATCTTTTACCTTCCACTCAGGAGTCTTTTACTGAAAATTTCTGGTTTTCTTATGTAGTCTGCTAGTCTTTGCCTGAAGAATATTTACAGCTTGTCTAAACAGTGCTTAAAATCTACCTGTATTGTAACAGGTAAGGTTAAATTGGCACAGTGCTCGACACTTAGATTGGTTCTCTCAAACTGAATGTATTTCAATATTATTTAGAATACCAGCATGCAGACAAAACCTCACTGAAATTAGTGGGAGTGCTGGCTGGTTTCCAAGTGCCATCACAAATAAAGGCTTCAAGCTTTTTTACTGACTTAAAGGTTTGTGAGAATGAAAAACTCCCTAGGAAATCACAATCAACTTCTACTGAGGTATTTTCTCCAGGTCAGAGTAGCCCTTATGTGAGTAGTTATGGCTGTGATGTAGAGGACAATACTGGGCTATTTGAAGTGTAGCCATACAATGGCAGCATGCCCATTTATTGTGGTCAAGATGTGCTTCCACCACAGTTTTTCAGAGACTGATCAAAGGAAGGTTAGATGACACAGGGTCAATTTGTCTGGCAGGAATGGGTTTGAGAATAAGGTAACACAGGACTGGAGCCATTGTAATGAGTTAAAAGTAGTAGCAAATACTTGAATACTAGAGTGTTCTGTTAGTATTCTTCATCCCACTTCTGATTATTCAATGCATTTTTACGTGGTGGTTTTATCTCTCTGTGTTTGGTCCTGGGGAAACATTTACAGAGAAAGTGCAGAAGCTGTGCAAGGGCCCAGTTTTGCTTAAATTGATGCTGCATGAAAGTTGCACATACCTCTGTTGGGTTGCTAGTTGTCCCTCTAAGTTTTGAGATAAATGATGGAATTAGAAAAAAATGGATAAGGTTTTGTTCATCTACAGAACACTGCCTTCCCTTCTGCTGGAAGGGAGCATTCTTTCCCAGGTAGGTCTTAATGCCCTGAGCAGTGTAGATCATAAAGGACTCCTAACCGAATCAGTGGGAACTGTGGGTCATAACTTGTTTTCTGTACGTCTGTCTGTTCACAGGTTGGTTGAGCTCCCTTCGGAAGCCTTAAACCCTGCAAAGGGAAACTGAAACTCTTTGAATAAATATCTTTTAGCTACTAAATTCTGACATTTAGGAACTACTTAACCCTCTTCCCGTTAACCCTTCAGACCAAGTTCCCTCAATAGCCTCAGGAAAATCTGGGGACCTTTCCTGTGATACCCAAAGTTCGTGTGCGCCACCTTCTTGTCACTTTGTCTCACTAGCCTGTTTTTGCAGCAAGTGGACAGCAGGTGTCATTGATGAAGTTGAGAACTTCTTCTCAATTTTGGTACATGGGTGAGATGTTAGGTCTCACCTGTATGCAAGACAGGCCTGTGTGCAAGAGGGCATTGAGGTCGCAGTCGTGTCTTCCAAGGAGAACTAATTAGTTGATGAATTTAACTACATTGACTATGTGATAGAAAACAACCCCTGCAGTATCCTGTTGTACTCCTGGTTTAGTAATCCTGCAGAGCACAGCCAAAACTGGGAAGATAGCGTTCCCTCCCCAGAGAATGAAAGGAACTTTGCACACCTGTCACATTCTGTTCTGCCGCCAGATCCATAACGTAGTGGCTTTCCTCTGGGCTTGTATTTGCTACAGGTTCATTTCTAAAAGCTACATTAAAAATGATCAAGGTGGCTGCAAGGTGGAAAAATCACTTTACAGAAAAATACAGGTCTGTAGTGCTGATTCTTTAGGGTGCTCGAATGTCAAATCTGTGCTTCCATGTAGTGCAGTGATACTTAAGTGAACTTTATATTAGGTTGATGGTGAGCAGATTAGCTCCACCAGCATGCTACTTGGCATGGACTGCAGAGCTCTTGAGAAGCTGCTGGTGTGGTTAGTCCACACAGCATGCACTATTGCTGTGGCTATGCTGGAGGTATTCCTATGAGGTTAAAGCTAGGCTGGGTGTATTCACGTGACTGTCAGTGGGTCCTTTAATAATTATTGTTTAAAACAACCCACAGCATTCTAACAAAGCAAAATCTTGCTAGCAAATTCTTATCCCATTCTCATAATCTCCTCAGCTTTGCAGCAAAAAAATAAGAAAGGTCAGCAAATATTAAAAAGACATTTATAGAGAAATATTTCATATTCTGTCATGTAACCCAAGCAATCTAATTTATATACTAATAGATATTTCACAATATGCCTCATCAATTCACTTATATCAATAAGTCTCAACAATTTGTTTATATCACTCTTGTTTGTAATAGCATTAGGAGCATGGTTACCTAACATTTTATTTTAGTTTTAGGATTGGTTTTAGGGTTACAATGAGGTTGACCCTTTTTTTTTTAATCAGAATTCTTCCTGTCAAAACACTGACTCAACAAAGTATCTTATTGTTTGCTGTCACTCCTTTCTCAATACTAAATTATCATCTGACTCTCTAAACACCTTCCAGTCCAACTAATTAACTCAGCCAGCTGTTTTGACTTTTATCCAATAAACAAAACAAATACTATCTTCTGTGTCATGGGCAAATTGCCCTTAATGTCTTGTTTTGCCAAGTCACAGTTTCCACTCCATTTGGCCTCTCAGGAGCACTGCGCAGAGGCCAAAACCTTCACCTGGCCAACACACTCTCAAAAATAGCTAATCCTCAGTGCCTGCTTGGAGCCTTGACATAACTCCTCAATAAGCAATGTTAGTCACCCTCAAGCATAAGCATCAGGCAGCTGGCAAAGATTTATGCAGAGTGGAGACTGAACATAGCAACTTAAGACCCTTTTTTTGAGGCAAATATGTGGTCAGTTGCCTGGCTTCCTCTTTGATTTTTACCATAAACCAAAGGTCCAGTCAGAAATATCACATAATTTTATTGTATTGTATTACATTGTTCCACATGTTTAACAGCACAGTCAACAGGTTCATCTTTCTGATTTTTTTCAGATGTAGAGATGCTTCAGTCCAAACCAGACACTCCAGCTGCTGGAGATGAAGTTTCTGTAACTACAAAAGACTCAATGCTCCGCAAGTTTTTAGAAGGTGAGATCTGTTTGGAGAGAGGGGTAGCAGTAGCACAGTTAAAGCAAATAAATGGAACTTGAGATTTCTCCTTGGTCTGTTAAGGATAGGAGCTAGACCACACTGTTTGACGTGGACAGCTTTGCCTTGGTGGGTACAAATGAGGCACAAAAGAAAAAGCAGCTTGTGAGGTGATTTCACAAACACAGTTAGTTTCTTACCAAAGAGGAGCAGTGATTTCTAGTTCCAGTCCCTGCCTACTAGTGAGTGCAAGCACACAGCTGGTATCTATTCAGGAATGGCTGTCTTTTGTCCTTATCTTAGTGATGGGAATTAATTTTGATGTCCTCATGTGGGTGCAGGCTCCCCTCATGGGCAGAGGCTGAGTATAAAGTAGAGCAGCACAAGCTAGTGATGAATTTTAATATAGATGCTTTATTCAAAAGTCCATTCATTGAAAACAGCAGCCTGGAAAGAGGAAGAGAACTGTTGGCTCCCAAATCTGTTCTACACTCTGCCTCTTCAGTGCTCCCTCTGCCTTCTCTGACCAAGGTCAGACCTTAGCTCCATGCTCTCCCCACTGAGCATGATTGGGTTGTCCAAGCCTTTTCCTGACTCACCAGGTTCCACGGGATACAGGCTCACTTTTTGTGGGTAACCCACCTGGACTCAGAGCAAGATTAAGTCTGGGGTTCTTAACATCCTGTTCTGTTTTCCCTGCCAACATGGATGCTCTGGCAGTCCCATTGCATTGACTCAACTAGGTGTTACAACATCACTAAAGGAAGGTCAGTCCGGTGGTTAGGGTGTTCACTTGTGACTTGGTAACAGAGCAGGGAGTTAGTCCAGGGGCTCTTAATTCTTTTTGCTAGCATGCAGAGGGAAACTAGCTTTTAAATCAGGTGTGACAGCATTTGATGATTTTGCAGTCATGTTAGGAGTGAGAATAGAATGGAGATGATGCGGTGATATAGTGGTAGCTGGTCTTGTTAAGTACAGATGTGTGTACCCAGCTCCATCTGAGACACATTGTTCTGAGATCAAATATATTGTCAGCCGATGGCAATTGCTCATTTCAGATGAAGGAATAGTTCTCTGTAGTACTTTGTAGACCACTACAAGTAGCTTTTGGAAACCAGCGCTCTGTTTGATTTTTTTTAACTGTTATAATATGTTAACAACTGGAATTAATTGAACTAACTGTTCCTTGAGTTCTTAAAAACAGTTACAAGATTTTCCACTATGTTTTCTTCACCAAAACAGATGGTACAGGCTTAGTGGCAAACACTTGCATGCTACTAGATGTTAATGACTTTATCAAGTCCTGTCTTGAAGGGCTTTGGCACTTAAGTCACTGCAAAACTGGATGTTTTTGCTTGTGAAATGGCCAGCTTGGTAAGAATGTGGTACACTGCATCTGGAGGGATCCAGTGTTCAGCGAAGTGGACAGGTTGTTTTTCTTTGCTCTAATCTGTTGTAGGTGGTAGCATGGATGAGCCAGATTCAGAGGAAGCAGTTTACCAGCAGTATGGCGAAGATGTGTACTACTCAGTGGAACAAGATACTTTTCCACAGGAAATGGCAAGCAGACCTCCAGTTCCTGTTCCAAGACCAGAATCCAGCTCTCCACAGCCAGACAATGAGCTGTACATCTCCAAAAGTGAGTTGGGCATCAGGGCTGAAACTGTAGACTAGTCAGCTGTAGGATGGCCTTTACATGGGCTCTGGTTGCCGAATAAACACCGAGAAAATCTACACGTTTTTGAGACCCCTGGATTATTTGGCTCTGGAGCTGGATTACATTTGGGATCCAATTTCAGATCTGTTTTTCATCTTTTGCCTACTCTGAAAATGTGGGGATGTTGTATCCTGAGGTCTTGGCCTGAGCTTGCTCTTAATGAAAGCAGTAGGACGACAGATTACCCCAAACAATATAAACAAATCTAACTAAATAGGAAAGATCCTGATATTATAAGGACACAATAATAAATTGAGGCATTGCTGCTCTGTAATGGTATCATTGATTCAATAGCATTTGTATAGGACATGACTCTATACCTCAATACCTCCCTCTGAGGTGGGGATTAATTGAAATTGAAGAAAATTGTGCCTCTTAGTTTGCTAGGCAGTTTTGGAATGTAGTCATATTTCACAAACATTCTAACAAGAACTACAGTAATGTGTGGGAGAGTAAGTTCAGTGACTCCTCCTTCCCCCCATGACAGGACTGTGGGGAAAGCATGTCCAGATTTCTCTTAGAGGTGGCTGAGCTAGATTCTTTGAGGTCAATAGAAGGGGAGTTCTACTGTACAACTCCTTATCTTGTTTTCTTCAATGGACTTGGTAGGATAACAGAAGCTGTAATGCAGTGCAGAATTGTGTATGCTTCCCATATTCATCCTTGCTATTTCTGTCTCTGTGAGATGCATTTCAGTGTCTAAAGAGTGTTTGTTTTACAGTTTTTGCACAGAAAGCTCAAAGACCTGAGAATATCTATGTCCCTAGAGGAAAGGTTAAGAAAGGTAAGTCAGAAATTCACCCTGAAAATCTTTCCAGTAATCCAAAAGCAAATCTGCTGAGGTAGCTTCATTTGTGTGAAATGTGAGAGAATAGTCTGTTTTACAAGGCTCTGGGGATAATAGTCCTATATGAATGACCCAACCTTTCTGACCTTACGTGACATTGGAAACTTTTTATAACTGCAGAGTGTGAGGGGGGTACAGACTGTACATATCCCCTGTCTTGGAGCTTATCCTCAGTCAGGATCATAATGATCATTGAAATCCTTTTTTATGTTGTGACCATATTACTTCATGGAGTTGATGTCCCACTTTGGATACAGCCATTGCCTGTTGATCATTATTTCCTGGGATTTAACCTTTAGTGAACTGTTTGCCATTGATCTCTGCACTTCCAAAAACGTGCCCTTTCATCTCTTATACTGTGCACTCTGAGTGCCAGGAACCACATATGAGCTTTTCTCTCATGTGTTGGGAACTCCTCTTTAGGTTGCAAATGAGTTATAAAGAGCCAGCATCAGCAGGATGAGTTTCCACCTTTCTGTTTCTGGAGTTACACTGCACAGATTACCTAGGAAGAGTCTAACTTTGTGACTGCCAAGGTGAAAGCTATGGTTTGTGGATTGCCAAGAAGAGAGAGATTTTTGCAGTGAGGAAGCAGAGCACTTTAAGGAGTACATTTTGTGCTATTTACTTAAATTATGTTTTTAAGAACAGAGATTATCCCTGGGACGTATTTGCATACAAGGCTACCTCTCAGCTGGGCTTTTAGCTGTGACAAATAGCAGGATGGCATAAGGACATGGTTAGGGAAACATTCAGTCTGTAATACTGATTTTTTTGCATCTCTGCTATATCAAGGGTACTTGAGTTTCTTTGTATTCAATGAGGACGACAGATGCCACAAGTTCAGTAATATTTTTGGTGTTCTTCTTTCTTCAGAGACAATAGTCAGGCCCGTAAGGGACCTGTCTCAATCAAGCATATATGATCCATTTGCTGGAATGAAAACCCCAGGTCAACGGCAGCTGATTACATTACAGGAGCAAGTGAAAATGGGCATACTCACCGTGGATGAAGCTGTACTTCATTTTAAGGAGTGGCAACTGAACCAGAAAAAGAGATCAGAATCATTCCGGTTCCAGCAGGTACAGGCTTATTCCACTGTTTAAGAAATACAGCTGTCTCTCTAGGGATATATCACAAGCTGTTCAGTGTGGGTACATTTCTTTCCTGGTTGGAGCAGGAAGACTGCTAACACAGTCCCCCAGCTAGGAGAGTTCTCTCTGACATGGAGGGGCTGTTCCCATGCAACAGCAAGCAGCTAGCTGTTTTACAGATCTGTTTGTCTTCAGTAGTACTGTTAGTTTTTGAAGATCTGTACACTAGGAACTGGGCCATTAAGTTGGCAGCAGCAACATAATGACTGGTGGAACTAGCAGTCATAGTTTAAAATTTCCATTCTCAAGTTAGAGTGGGGCTCCCTCTTTAAAACCAATGCCTGTTTCTTTTGGAGCCTTTTGTTCATGCTGCGGCAGTCTGCTCTCACGCTTGAGGTGCTGGTCTCCAGTGTGTGACGCTGTTTTGGGAGCTGTCAGAACAAAGCCAAGACTTTTCTCCTCCTGATTCTCACTTGGAAGGGTCCTCTACCCAGAAACAGTCAGAGGAATCCCTTCTGTCAACAAAGAATGCAGTGCTACTTTAGTAGATGTCTGTAGCAGAGATGAAGTGGCATGCTCTGTGCCCCATCCCATGAGCGGCTTTCAAAGTCTCTGCTCCAGATCTTGCCTCATGGTACATCAATTGCTCTGTCTGCTTTTCCACCTGTTCAGGGGTTTCCTCCTCTTACATATATACATATTTCCCTGCTGGAAAAGTTGTCTTTTTTTTTTGTTGTTTTTTTTCTCCCCACCTTTCCTTACTGTAAGATGCAGTATGCTGCCACACAATGGGGAAGAGACTTTGCTCCCAGTTATGTTTCCAGGTGTCCCCTCTTGGGACATCTTGAGTTCTTTCTGAATTGTTCCTCACACTCTGGGATGTGTGGCAGCCTTCTCTGTCCCTGCAGTCAGAATTATTTGTTCATTAGTACAGAAGGGACTGTGCAGTTACTTGATTGTAGCTCTTGTTTTTGTGCCAGTGTCACAGTGGAAACAGAAAGTAGAGGGAGTTCTAAACCAAATGTGCTGCTTATCTGAAACTGCCAGTGAGTCTGTGAACTTGACCTTAACGTACACATTGAACATCTGGAAAAAATTGGCTTCTGAAAGGCACTCATGGATTTCTGAAGGGAATAGATTAAAACCTGTTGACATGGTTTGGACTTCAGCCAGGTCTAGCAGGCTTTGTTAGAGATTGGTTGCAAAGTTAACTGAAATATAGTATTAGTATTGTCAGAAAGCTGCTCATCCTCCTTTATCCAAAGCCCTGAAAAGAATATCTTATGATGTTTTTAGGAAAATCTGAAACGGCTACGAGACAGCATAACCAGGAGGCAAATGGAGAAGCAAAAAAAGGACAAAAGTGCAGGTAACAGTCTCTGATTCTGACATTCTCTGGTAATGAAGCAGCTAACAATATTAATAGGCTCTTCAGGCAGAATTGTCTCTGTGTGTATTGTAGTTATGTAATATATTAATATTCACATCCATGTGCCTGTTGGCTAAAACATAGGGACGTTGCTTCACTCTTCGATTTCCCAGACTGAGGAAAGGATGCCCACATCTGTGGCGTGAATCTTGATTCATTCATGTACAGTTATGATCGCCCTTATGTGATTGTGTTTAACTTTGTTCTTGGGTGTCTCTCAGAAGCTCTACTTGCATAGACCCTTCTGAGCTGTTCACTTTCCCTTCCAGATTTGGAAATTACAGTACCCATTCGACATTCCTATAATACTTTGGGGAAACCAGCATGTGGAATATATGAATATGCCCCCAGGAAAAACGTTTTCCCACCAAAAAAGGAGTTAAAGCGAGGAGACTGGAAAACAGAAAGCACATCCAGCACAACAAGTAAGCAAACCCTGAGTGTCACCCTCTCTACAGGAAAGCTAGATGGAAAATACTTGCCCAGCCTGACTCTGGAGTCAGCTCAGGGGACAGGACTTCTGTTCCTGAATGACAGTACTGACACCACCACCCCAAACCCCGCATGCCTCAGACTGGCTGTTCTCAAAACTGTAAAAGCAACTCAAGTGGTTTGGGCATCTTGCAGGAGAGGAACCTGAAAGCTGACCAAAAAATTCCCCTGAGCCTTCTCAGGGGAGGCATATCACCCGTCTTCAGGTCTTAAAAGTAGATGGCAGCTGCTCTCTTAGAAAAAAGGATGCTCCCTTGCTGTGACTCTCAGCAGGCAGTGTGCTCTTTTGGTCTGAAGTGCATAGTTATATTGCAGGCTGGGAACCAGTCTCTACGTATCATTTCCTCAACTGTTGTAGATAAAGCGCAGCATTTTTCATTGGTAACTGTGGGACCTCTTGAGTGACTTGGACAGTCTGCATGTTTTTATTATCTTTGTTTCTTACAAATTAATTCCGTGCAAATTAAATCCCAGCATTCTCACTGTTACTGCAGACTGAGCAATTCTTGCAGAACTCATTAAGATCATTTTGGTCCTCTGAAAGGAAAACTGAGTCCCAGTGAGGTTACTACCTTTGTGGCTCTTGGCAAGATATAGCTGGCACACATCCAGAGTAGGTGCCAGAGGCATATAAGTAACTTGCATATAAGCCGTTGTGAGAGAAATGTTAACGAGCCTGCAGAGTTCACTGTGTACAGCTTGGCTCTCTTTCCTATCGCATGATTGCGAGAACAGACCCTAGCACAGTATTTAGCACTCTTAAGTGCTGCTGTTTGTACCAGCTGATAATGAGAGTTACCTCACCAGGGCTAGAGAGGGACTGCATCTTATGAGGAAACATCTCTAGCCTCCATTTCAATGTATAGGTTTCTGAGCATTAATGTCCCAGTATTGCACAGCCCTATATTACGTATTTATGACTGAAACCAGCCATAGGTAGCAGTGTAGGATATGTTTGTGAGTTGCTGTCCCCTTCAGAGATGGCACGACTGACTGCAAAAACGTTCCCTGCCCTGAGACCATGCAAGTGAAATGAGTTTGCATAAATGGTTGCTGAAGGTTGTTTGAACAAACTTGTCGTTTTTAGCTCTGAAATAAACTAGGAAACATTCCTGTGATGAGTAAGGATTGTTGTGAGAGGAAATGGTGAACAGCTATTGGGAACAATAACCTCTCAAGCAATCACTTATTCCAGGAATGAATGTGTGATGGTGCTCAGAGCCGTCTGCCTCCACTCAGTTGTTAACGACATGGGGACTGATAATTTAAATATACGTAAATGTTGGGTGTGTAATACTTGTGACAATATTTACCTGACTTGCCAGCTGATATTGGCACTGGATCCTTTCAGTTAGAGTATGGTTGTGAGTATTTAACCAGAAGCCTGGTCCTAGATAGGGCAGAAATCTGCTAGAAAGAAAGCAAAACTGAATGGTTTGGCCCTGTGGTCTGTGTTGTATGAAATGCCATTGTTTGGATGCTGAACATGTAGAAAATAACAGTGGAAATAAATTAATCTAAACAAGCACTAAATGACATGTGCAGGAGGTAAGCATGAGGTTAGAAGGAGTCCTGAGTTAGTGATTGGCAGTTAAATCACCAGGATTTAATAATCAGTTTGGTTTCTCTTGCTTACTCACACCAGGTAGTGCAAGTAACCGCTCCAGCACTCGGAGTATATTGAGTGTCAGCAGTGGGATGGAAGGGGACAGTGAGGTAAGCTCTCACCTCTGCTATATACTGGTCCACTGTTCTTAAGTACGTGACTTTGTTTTCATGCAAAAGAAAAGGAGCTCAGGGATGGCACTGCATTTGCAGAAATGGCAAAATGTAGCCACTTCTGTTGTGAAGGTAACAGGAAGCAAATTCTGCTGGTCTGTGACATCTTTTCTTCATTTTGTAGGACAATGAAGTCCCAGAAACAACTAGAAGCCGCAGCCCAGTTGCCCACCAAGCAGAGAGGCTGCCTTTCCTAGAAAGGCCTCCCAGAGTGCCTCCTCGAGGTGCAAGCAGGTAAAGCTGAAATGCAGCTCAGACGTGAGCTTTCAGTGAATAAATATGGAAGCCTTGGGCAGAAAGCAAGGCAGGAAGCGAATGTGTCTTTCAACAAAATCTAACAGACTATTATCTTATAAACACACACTGTTAGGAATTGTAAGATCCTTGTTTCTCATCTGTAATACTTGGTGGAATTGGTTTCCTAGTTGGTAACATGCCTGTTGCAGTGCTGTTATTCTGGTTCACACACTGCAAGGGGCAGCTCTATTTGAAGCACACAATGGTTGCCATAGTAAGACTGTCCCAGGTGGGAGTAGCATTCTGCCCCTGGCAGAGATTTAGTACCTGATCCTCCTGAGAAGATCCTCTTGGAATGTACAAAATGTAGTGCAGAGGGAACTCCCTTTTGGCATTCCCATGCCTTTTTTTTCTTTTTACATATTTCAGATCTCTCCAAAGCACACTTGTTTACATGTGTGATTGGCCTCAAAGAACTGCACTGGTTTTATAAAAGGTGTTGAGGGGTTTTGCCTTGATTTGATCAGACCACAACAAACTTAAGTAACTTGTAAACATTCCTTTAGTCCAACCAGTGCAAGTCTGTGAAGTCCAGACCCCAGAGGCTTATCTAAGTACAGATGCTAATAAAATTCTCCAACTGTTAAAATAGTAATTACTAACGTGTGGGTACAGTAAGTGTTCTGTATGTTGGCTTGGCTCTGGCAAGAATATGGCTGGAATTTATCTGTAGTTAGTTTGAAAAAAAAGATTTTGAATCTTTTGATCTCTTCCTATTGCTCTTCATCTAATTTTCAGGAGAGAGCTACTATACTATCAAAGTTTTACTCTAACCAAGTACTATAGCATCTTTTCTAGTAATCATAGAATTACTGCAGCTGAAGAGCAGAAAAAATAACTTGGACAGGAACAGGGCTCTGGCATCTTGGTATCTGCTCTGTTGCTGAATCACTGATAGCCTGTTTTCTTGTATGACTTGCTTGTACAGTATTCTTAGATATGATATTATTGCATGCAATGTGTTGTTCTGGAACCCTATTCTCTACTATTTTTTTTAATGCATTTGTATTCTCTGTCTTTTTTTATAGGCCTGTAAGCTGTGAAGGCTTCTATCCTCCACCTGTGCCCCCAAGAGGTCGCTGAATCTCTCAACATCTGTGGAATATGAGATTTTTCTGTTTGTATGTGTGTTTGTACAGATATTTTTGGGTTGTCTTAAATTATTTATAAGTGGGAGCCAAATGTTTTCTTCCCCTTCTCCCTAAAGCTCTGGTGACTTTTCCCATGATTTTCACTGAAACTTCTTGGCCTTGTATAACTTTCCTGCTTGGAAAAATTTTGGTGCTTTGGGACTTCAAGAAAGCGTCATGGTTGGGAAGGAGAACGCTCTTGTGTGTCTTGGCAGCCCTGCGCTAACACGAAGTTTCCCTTTCACCAAGAAAGAACACATGTCCTTTTAGAAACTAAATCCTGATAAGCATTGTTACCAAAACCCTTGATACAACCTGCAAGGGCTTGACTGGAAAACAAGCTTGAAAAAGTAAAGAAAATAATTTGTTCAAAGACTTTGTTTGAAGAACACTCATTACAGCAGGAGCAGGTGAATGTACTGCTGTTTGGCCTAACATTTTGGGTACGGACATACTGACCTTTCAGAAGGTGTAGAATCTCCCTCCAGCAATCACTAAACCATGGGAGGATGAGAAGGTGTCTTTATTCAAGAATGTAGTTTGCATACAGCCTTGAAAACGCCTTTCCCCTTACCTCCCTGAAGAGGACAGACATTAACAAGGTGGTGTGTGTGCTGCATTTACCATGAAAATTCCCAGGGCAGCTGGTAAGGGACCTGCTGTATCACAAAACAACTGTACTTAAACTGTACTCCCCTTTTTTGGGGAGGGGGTGGGTATGTTGTTACTTGAAATCACATGATTGACCTCTCAAATTAGAGGAAGGAATTGGCAGCAATGCTGTGTTCTGTATCTCTTACATGTGTTCATTGTAGAAGTGGTATGAAGGCTTTTCACTTCATGCTCTGGAATAGTATAGTGAGTCTCCAATTATAGATGCACACACCTCACAAATACCAGCAATGTAGTTAGCCTGCTGCAGTGGAAACAGGCAGCCTGGGGGCTGCTTGCTCTACTCTTCCTTTCTAGCAATGTGAATCTGCAACAGCTGTGTCCAGCCTTTTTTCTGCCTGAGGACTTAGAAACTTAAGGAGAGCTTCCTGGTTTGGCTCTCTGTGTTCCAAATGTAGAAAGCATCTAAAGCAGAAATGCATTTTGATTCCTCATCTCAAGGGACTCAAATGATGGAAGTGAGGTGTTTTGGGTTTTTCAAAATTTTTTTTCTTCCAGGCCTTTCAATCTTCTGTGCATACCCTGGCCCTTGGGGGACAAGTATAGGGCTCTGGTTGTCCATAAGTGATGCAGATGAGAATTCTGCAAGATACCATTCAGGGTAGAGAATTAAGCATCATTACCTACTTGGTTTTCAAGCCATTCCCCCTCTTCCAGCCCTGAGAGAGACATAGGTACATCTGTATTAGGTGAGATCCCTCAGGTACAGGTAGGACACATAAAGCTTCTGTCCAGTCATGTAAGCTCCCCTTGATCTGTAAGAGAGCAGGTGATAGAGTTGTAGCTCCTTTCTCTTGTAGGATGGCAAAGCTGACGTGCGGAGCTGCAGGAGTGACAGATGGCAACTGTGACTGAGCCAGTACTGAGTGAAGGTTGAGAGCCCCTGCTGCTCTCAGGGGTACAGGCATAAGCTAAATATCATCTACACATTAAACTCACAGGGTTTGACTCCAAGTGCAGTTCATACAGCCTCTCTGTTTGATAAGAGGGATGCAGGTGTGCTGCAGGCCTATAGCTACAGAGGTGAGCTTTTTTTTTCTTTTTTAAAAGACATCAGTGCCTTCTCCAGTAACTCTGACACTACAGGCACTCACTGACAGTTTGCTCTTTGTTCACAGTAGCCAGGGGAATGGTGGGGTGGCAGCTGCCTTCCTGTGGTCTTCATGGAATGGAACAGAGTTCCCAGCACTATTCAGTCAAAGAAAGCAGGGAAGGAGGTTTTGGTGATGAAATGAGGAAAATGGTAGCATGGATAAGTGAAGGAAACAGGGATAAAAGAAATAAACTAAAAGAGGGAATTCAACAGCTTGATTGTCTTCAGCTGTCACACATGCTTTGGTTTGCACACAGCTCCCTGGTTTTGCTCAAAAGTTCCCCATCTCCTTAGTGCTGGCTGCAGCTGTGCTCCAGAGCTTGGAGCTGTGATGTGATGGGAGGAATTCATCTGCTTTTACATATGCCAGGCACAACATAAGGTAGAAATGTAGGATGTGGAGAAAACCGTAACAAGGCAGGAAGGGAAAAGCAAAATATGAAAGTGTATCATGCAGAAGACTTCTTTTCAAAGCTGTTGGACTGAAGCAGCCCAGGGATATGCGTCCCCCAGCTAATTTTTAATTCTGCACCCCCTGCATGTGATAGGCAAATGTCTTCTGTGGGAGGGGTCTATCTGAACTGTATTCCGAGCGTTTGCCTTGGCACAATCCTAATAAAAATCCAGTTCACAGCCATGTTATTGCTAGTACGGCAGTGAGATGGTTTATATCTGAATTGCTGAAAAGTAGCTCGTAAGTAGCCTTTGAGTCCCACTCCTGTTTTCAACTTAGATACTGCCTTAGTCTGACTTGACCTATCATACAAAAACAAACGCTAGTGGGGCTCCGGTTTGGAGGAGAGGTGAGCTGGGACAGGTAGGGCTGAGTAATACTATAAATGTACTCTGTTCAGGCCCCTTCTGTGCTGCATGAGGGGGAGAAATTGAAGATGTAGCTGTAGCCACAGCATTCCCTTCTCACTTTCTCTTTGTAACTTCTCCTGGATGAGTTAGGGATCTCACTGATCAGCAATCACAGCAAAACTATCACCCTATCAAGGAGAAAAGGAACAGCACTAAAATGGCTTCACTGTTAAATGCAGGTAAACGATTGAGATGCAGTCATGCCTTTCCAGTGTCTTGCAGGCCAGCAGAGAGGCACCTTCTTAGCTGCCAAAACATGTGTTCCACGTTGGTTTGGTTTCATTTAGTTGCTTTAATCCTCTTATGGCTCAGTGTATGGACTCCTTGTATGTGTAGACTCCAGTTGTGCTGGTGAGCATGTGGTATGTATTGCTTCCACTCAGGATGAGAAGTGCGCTGAAACTAAAGCTCAGAAGAAACTGGAGAAGAAAACTGCGTGCAACCAGATTGTTGGTTACTCAAGAATATGCTTGGGGAAGAGTGGGAACAAAGTGTGTTTCTGTGGAACACTAGAGCTCAAGGACTGAACAGATAATAAAATAGCTGGTAAAAAGTAAATGGCCTAGCCACCTGTAGGGGCATCAACCAAGCCACCAAGCTCAGGTGGCAGCTGGCTGGCCCAGGGAAAGTGTTTGCTCTGTACAGTGTGCCTCAGAAAACCTGCTGCAGCAGATGGCTCTGGCTGCCCTGTTGTTGACTGAGAGACTTAAGTACTGAATAAACCAAAGATGCTGAAGACTCCTCTCTCTTTCTCCCAGGGGTAAGCTACTCTGTTTTGGACTGAGATGCAATGACTTTAAAGAAACATATGGTGTTATCAAAGCTGTCTAGGTTTTTCTTTTCTTTTTTTTTTTTTTTTTTTAAATAGGAGTTTTGAATGTGTTTTGTCAAGTATCTCTCTATAGGGACCTTGCTTCTACTGAAATAGGCAGGAGATTGTGAATGTACTATCTGGAAAAGGCTTCGTATAAACGTAGCTTGCTGAAGTATGTTCAGGGAAGGTAGGTTGAATCTGTAAGACCACAAAGGGAAAAGCTTTTAGTATAGGTATGTGGTGATCACAGTGGTAAACAGGAAATCTGTTTTTGCGTCATTCCTACAAAGCATGGATGGTGTGTAACAGCACGGAGCACCTCCTGCATTCAGCTCATGTCCTCTGCTGTTTATTTGTGGACTTGTGCAGTATGTGAGATGGTAGCCCCCCCTTTTTAAAAAAAAAAAAATTATGGCTGATAGCGCCAAGTTCACAGGTTCAATCCCTGCTTACTGCAGGGGGGTTGGGCTCGATGATCTCTCAAGGTCCCTTCCAACCCAAAGCATTCTATGATTCTAAAATTGTTTGTGTTTGTTCATTTGAAAAATTGTCTGATCAACCAACACTTAATACCGTGAGCTTTTTGGCTTGGGGGTTGGGTTTGGGTTCTTTTTACTTTGGACTTGTAGCTTGAAGACAGTTCCAAGTTGACACACAGGTTTGCAGGCTTTATCTCAAAACACAAAACTTGCTATTTGTTACGTTTGGGCGCAGCTTTGCTGCCTCAGCAGCTGCCCCCTGACAGCTGCGGCTTTTGGCACTTCTGCGTTCATCCATTTCTTCTGCTTGTACAAGTGCTGTAAAAACGGGACCGCTTAATTTTGAGGGTACTTGCGCACAGCCCTGTCTCACGCTGTTCTCAAGCAACTTTAGATTATTTCATTGATCGATGCGATTTTATCAATTGTAAAATAATGCCAGCAATTAAAAAATAACTGAGCTTCAACAGGCTCATGCTGAAGGCCGTAGCGTCACGAACGCCCGCGGTGTCT